AAACGGCCAAAAAGCTTTTGTAAATGACGCCAACAGCTGTCGATGGCAAAGCAGACAACAGAAAACGTTGCCATCGTCACCATAGCGGCCCAATTTACCAGCCCAGCAGCTTGAACCCGTGCCCCAGCCCCCACTTCAGCACACATACATATGTATATGCACATACATATGTATGTATATATGTGCATATGTATGTATGTGTGTGCGCGCTTCGCGCGTTTTAATAAAGCGACAATGACATTTTATGAATTTTCCACTTTGTTCGGCTTGCCACGGCCTCAACGTGGTCGACCTCCTCCTCCTCCTCCCCATCGCACTATGGGCTAGAAAGCCAATGCTGTGGCCAAAAATCAAAATCAAACCGATATTCAATTAAGAACGCCTGAAATACAAAACTGAATGCATATTTTGCAAATTGACCCTGCACTCTGTTCGAACGTTTCAAACATAACAAATAGTCATAAATATCGAAGAGAATTTCTACTTCACTACTCGAAATTAGTGATATAACACATATAAAGGAATGTGGTTCCCTTTTGTTCTCCAGATGGAGTCGAGTTTGAAAATGTTAACATTGAATTGCCTTCTTTTTCAATCAAAATCAGAACAGCAAAGCGTCGGCTTTTAAATATAGTCAGATCAAGCATTTTATTTTCGGAAACGATCCATCCGAATGCCTGGAAACCGATGATAAAAGCAGCTAAGAGAAACCAACCAGAATGCAGTCTTTTGTCCCATCGTGCGTCTGCGTCTTTGTCCGCATTGTAGCCGCCATTTGTTGTTTGCCTTTGCTTATTTAGAACCGCAGCCCAATTGGTTGACTTAAAATGAATTGCGAAAGTGTGGGTTTGTGTTTGTGTTGGTGTTTGTGTTATTGTTGTTGTTATTGCTGTTGCTGTTTCTGTTGCTGCTGCACAAAGGCGTGTTCAAGTTGTCTTTGATATCCGATTTCATTTATAATTAGCTTTAATGTTAATGGTTTCCATACCTCTAGTCTATCCTTGTCGACTCAAATCGCTAAGCGATTGTGTTCTGGGGCTGCAAGTCAAGTTATTGATGTCACTTCTGGCTGCTTAATTGGTGTGGTCATCAGCAGTTGACTCAATGTCTGGTTAACAGGACATTCACAGCTCATATCAAGTTGAAAGCAATTAATGATTTCCATAGCTCTTCAGGTGTTTCCACGAATCAATTACTAGTAAACAGGTAATTGGAGGAATTATCGTTGAGCTTGAAAAGTTTGAATTTGAAAAACCCCAACGGAGATAAACCTAAGCAGGAACACAAAAAGAAAATTAGATATATACTTTTATGGTAACAATTTAATATAACACTACTGGAGTGGATTTTTCGTTCGCGTTATTATTTGTTGTATTCAAGTGACTAATTGAAGCAATTAGAGAATTAAAGAAGAGGGCTGTTAATGCGATTACTGGTTCCAAAGGAACTATACTTTGCAACATAAACAGCAATACATTTTGTTGCTTCATCATATATGTATTATATAATACATATGTATATGATCAGTTGGCAGTAAGAAGATTCCACTTTTTGAGCTTGCAAGTCAAGCTGCAGAGAGAGAAAGAGATCTGAAAGGATACAGATAGCCGCATCAATTCATCTCTTCCACAGCTCCAAATTAGAGCTCACTTAGAGCACCCGTCTCTTTAGCTTTTAGGGCTTGTGTTGATTATCCATCCATCAGCTATTATCGTAATGACTCCACACAATGCCTGCTGCAGAGATGGGAAGAATAGCGTCGTGATAGCTGATATATCGAAGTACATACCCACCTGATTGTAGATTATTTACATATATATTAAAGAATCGGCCAACAATTTCTCACTCACTCTGTTTCAAGTTTAGTTAACACTTGCAATGCACGTGTCTGATACACTTATTGGTTTGTAACCTTTTGATGATGTTAGTCTAGGGGGGACAAATGGCCTTCTATATATGTATGCACCATGCTAATTGCCATCCATTTGAAGATATTGGCGGCTTTTGGGTGGCAAACTAAGTACAACATCCCTGGTAGTACTAAAGTCGATACTTGCGAATAGCGCTCTGCTCTAGTTCAAAGCACTGCCGGACCATTAGCATTTGCATTTCCCTGCTGCCCCCATACTGGTGCACTTAGGTTACATTGTAAATTGGCAAGAATTGTATATTTTTTTGCCAGCAGGCGGTAGCAAGGGCAAGAGCAAAAAGTACGTGTTAATTTGCCAACTGATAAGGCGCGAGTCATGCAAATCGCCAGACATGCAGCCAACTATCCAGCCAATGTGGCCAGTAAAAACTTTGCTGTTCTTTGCAGCGTCTTCACGATGCAATGCGACGCTGTGCGGTTCCTGTAAGCTGTGGATTCGTTTTTTGTCCTGATGCTGGTGCTGATGCTGATGTTGGTGCTTAATGCCGTCTCGTTATTTGTAGCACATAATTTAGCATGTAATTATGCAGAAAACATACAAACACAGGAAAACAGCATGGCTGGCCACAGTGCGTATACGTAATATGGTACGTGTGGGATTTGCGTGAAGCTCGGTCTAGGTTTGGGTTCGCTACTGGCTTTGGTTCTGGGTGTGGGTTTGTTTTGTGTTTGTGTTGTGTTTGTGTTGATGTTGATCCAGAAGCCAAAAGGTTTGGTGTTTTTGCCACTCGTCGTCGTACGCGTCTGTGCGTGTGGCTTGCAAATGCATTTTGCCCTTTGAATTTTAATTGCAAGCTCTTGCTCATTTGGCCCTCCTCATCATCGCCATTACCGTCACGATTGCTGAAACCCGTTTGGAGCTGCGGCAGGGAAGTGGAGCTGTTTTTTTTTTTTGTCTAAACAAAATTACTGCGATAAGCCAGCCACGCACAATCGAAGACAGAGGCGAGACAGAGGTGCTGGAAAAGGCTCAGGCACCCTCATCGCGTTTAGCTGCCCGTCCGTATCCCTTCTCAATCATAACGCTTTTAGTGTCGCCGACATCGACTAATTTGTCACTTTTGTCACTTTGGCCACCCATCCACCCATCCGCCCATCCGCCAACCCATTCACCCAGCTGGCCACCAATTTCGTTTTGGCATATGGCTGCCATTGGCAAACCCCTTTTTTTTGGGGCTGCCTCTGCTGCTCCAAGGACATTTTGTATTCAAATAATGTTTGACGCTTTTGTTGTCGCTGTTGTTTCGTTTGTCCTTCGTCGCGTTTCTTTCCGCTATATTGCGGACTGTTGTTTCTGTTGTTGTTGCTGTTGCTGCTGCTGCTGCCGCTGCTGTTGTTGTGGTTGGGTCCACTGAGTTCGCTTTTGCCATCCTTGTCCTGTTCCTGTCGCTGTTGGCAGCGTTCAAGTGGAATGCTGTGCAAACTCGCACGTAATTAGCTGTTAATTTGGCTGACAGTTGGCAATTAAGCGTGCATTTTACTCAACCACGTTCGCCACCACTTTCACTATAAGTTTGCAATTGAGTGGCAAAATGGAGCTGGCCCAGCTGCATACAACTTGGCAACTTGAAAAATACGTACTCTATACTATACATATACTCGTACATACATGCATTGAAATCTCCTAGTTCGCAGACACAAAGCTATGAAAGGGATTTGCTTTCCCGCCTAATTTTGAATCCAACTCAAATGAGAACTTTCCAAAAAAAATTAATACTAATTTGTAGGCATATTAACTTCATTTTAACAATTCACTCTTAATCTACTTGTAGTTAGTAAGAGTACTTGTATAATTGGCCTGAGCACGTTTTCAAAATCTTTCTTTTCACTTTTCTCAATTCGCAGGAAGTCTAGTCACAACACAATTGTCTGTTATAGATATGGCGCTCTTCTAATATTTATTTCTAATTCTTGTTTAATGGATAAAAGGACGGGTAAATAATCTCTGGTGTATTGAGTCATTAACCTATTTTATTGAAATGTGCTCTACTTTTTAGCCGCACAAAAGTGCTTGCTAATATTTTAAATGGATTGTGGCAAGCACAAGGCTTGATGTCGAATCAATTCAAAAGTAATTTGAAAACTAAGCAGAGCTGAGATATTTTTTACAGAAAATTAACGCCTATTGCTTTGTTTGTTCCCCCGATTCATTTTTCGTAGCTTTTGTAGGTTTCATGTGCATTCTTTGTCACCAATATACGAGTAATTGAAACAATTTCAGAAAGGTTGGAGCATTCCTTTTAAGCAGAGTATAAGTCGAGTGTTGCTCTTATTGGATTTTATTTTAAAATCCGTTTTAACTCACCCAGGCAGTGCTGATAAGATGCCCATCATATTTATATTGCACTCCAGGTTAATGAGACATTCCGGGCAAATGTATTAACATACACACACACATATGTACATATGTATGTATGTATGGGTGCTGAAATAATATAATTGCCTTCTTATAAATGTACAAAAGACTTACATTATAAATAGCATACAAACGCACAGATTATAAATAGCTTCTGAATTCCCGGTGCAAAGTGCAAACTGAGTTCATTTTTTTCATATAAAATGCACATCATTTCCAGCTCCTGTAACTCTTGTACTTCTGTGGAGCACGTGATTCGACGTTTTTTTTCTTCAGAATTATGCCGCAGCTTCAGATAAGTAAACGAATCCATTCTCTTGCAAGCAACATACAAAGTATACATAACTCTTATAGTATATGTATACATATATGTACATAAATGTATATACTTATGTACGTCACTTAATTTGTGAATCTCACTATTTGTCTGCCATATTGAGGGCGCCGCGTTCGACTCGCTGTGATTCACAAATAACTTCAAATGGCTGATTGCTGTGTTAGCGATGCGCGCATGTCTGCAAAGCAGAATCAGAAGGAGCAGTGTTGGGCAACGAGTTAAGAGGCAATGGAACGCGTGCGTGCAGATGCGAACAATATCGTATTTATGTTCATATGTACATACATACATATATCGATAGAGAACCACGTGTTATCTTTGCAAGCTTGAATAAGGAAGATTCTGCGTGGCGTAAAAAATAATTGAAATTGTTCATAATGAGCGCTGAAGAAATAAATCTTGACCTTAACCTGGACAACAAGGATGTGCTGGCCTTTGTCGAGCTTTTGAAGAAATATGAGTTGAAAAATATGGGAGATTTGGAGCAACTGTACCATATAGCGACAAATAGCTGCCAATCCACTGAGTCGCAAAAATACGTGGAGTCGTACTCGCGCTTGCGTGCATTTGTTGAACAATCGGCGCCGGCTTACCAGGCCGAGCTGTCCTTGGTGCTCTATCCGATTTTGGTGCAGATCTATTTTAAGATGATTTCGAGCGAATCAATCGAAAAAGCACGAGCCTTTTTGAAAAACAACCAGTCCCAACTGGATGGCCATCATCTTACAAATTTGGCGAGCCTGCAGCACTTGTTTAGGCCGGAAGATGCTGCGAAGAGCGATTACGTGAGTGCCATGCAGACGGATAAATTCGGCATACGCATGTGCAAAGATGCGTACGGCCTGATCATGGCACACTTGCAGGATCCTGACCAGCAACTGTTAGCCGACATCGCAGCCAAGAGTCTGCACTTCGATGTATACGAGGGCATGCCACGGAACAAGGAGCAGTGCTTGGCCACATCTGGCTCACATATTGGCGAGGCCAAGAAGCAGGACAACAAGAAGCGCGTTCTGTTTGGCGTAGAAAAAGAGCCAGACTTGGCGGCAATGCTGGAGGAGAAGAACGCCGCCCATATGGCCACTACATCGGCTGGCGGCGGCAATAAAAGGAAGTCCATAAAAGTCTCCAAGTCGAGGAAATTGGAACAGGACGCGAATGTGCCGCCCCCCGGACGAATTCCGTTGCCGGCACTCAAGGATGTGGACCATCTGCGCCAGATACAGCGTCTAGAAGATTCCGGTAGACAAATCAGCCTCGGCAGAAAGCAGTTGCCAACTGCATTATTTTACACCATCATGAATTCCAATAACGGTTTGACATCAGCTGAAATCTCCGAGGATGCATCTATGCTGGCTTGTGGCTTGGCCGACGGCAGTGTGTGCATCTGGTCATTGACGGCTGACAAGCTGCTTGCCCTCAAGGAAGCGGGAGAGCTCCAAAGGCTGCACTCTGCTCCCGAGGCAATGAGGGCGTGCATGCTTGACGAGAGCAGTGGTCAGAAAAAGCGTCTTCTGCTTGGTCACAAGGGTCCAGTGTATCGCGTATCCTTTTCGCCTTGCCAGCATTTGTTGGTCTCCTGCTCCGAGGACTGTCACATTCGTTTGTGGTCGCTTCAGACCTGGACCTGCTTGGTCATTTACCGCGGACACGTCTATCCGGTGTGGGATGTACGCTTCTCGCCGAAGGGCTTCTATTTCGTTTCTTGTTCGTATGACAAGACCGCACGCTTGTGGGCCACAAACTCCCACAAGTCACTTCGGTTCTTCGTTGGCCATTTATCGGATGTGGATTGCGTCGAATTTCATCCTAACACAAATTATATTGCGACTGGTTCTGGTGATCGCACTGTGCGTCTCTGGGATGTTGCCACCGCAAAATCAGTGCGCATTATGACGGGACACAAGAGTTCGGTCATGTCCTTGGCCTTCTCCAACTGTGGCCGTTTTCTGGCATCTGGCTCGATCGACAAGAACGTCATCGTTTGGGATGTAGCCACCGGCATATTGGTAACCACACTGGTTAGCCACACTCACACCGTTGTAGCTCTCGCCTTTAGCCGGGACAACACTATGCTCGCAACCGGCGGTCTGGGCTGCCGTTTGGCACTATGGGACTTCAAGCAAATCGTCCTAGACTACGTATCCAAAATGCCAAATCTATGTAGAGATAATAATAATATAGTCGGCACTAAATACCTTGTGAACTCTTACCCCAGCAAGGAGACACCATTTGTGACTCTGCGCTTCAGCCGTCAAAACCTCCTGCTATGCGTTGGATATTTCAAGACCTAGATGGAGGAGTATCAGCAGCAGTTCACATTAAATGATTGAAACGTTTTGTGGAAAAACGAACTTTATTTTCTTTTCAACTAATTAAATGGAGTATTTATTACTTTTGGTTCTTCAATGAATAGTAAGAACGCCTGAATTTTAAGTTCCTTCTTTTTATTTTTTTTTTTTTTTATCAATAAACTAACACACAAAATTATGGTATTTTAATTGAATGCTCGGAAGAGGTATAGTCAAGGATTATATCTGAAGCTGAGCGACACAAAAATACAGTCAAGATTTTGATAATTTATTGTATAGAAAAGGAATGTTTGCCGTTTAATTGGCCACGTTATTTAACTGGAATCTCTACGCATTTTTATAGTTCTGATCAGCTTAAATGTATTCTAAACAAACCAAGTTTTTCTGTTGTGGAACAATGCTATATGTCCTAGAATTCCAAACAATTTGGGAAACAATTGCTTTTAAATACTGCGCCATAAAAAACATATTAGTTCTCTCTATACCTTATCTCTGCAGTTTGTTGAGTCTCAAGCACGTTATGGGATTTAAATGCATGTTCAAATCAAGAAACAATCCGATATATTTTTAAATGCATTTCAAATATCGGTTCTCTGTGCTTCTCTGTGCCACTTGCCTTGTAGCTTTAGTGTTTGGTTCTCCCCTACCATTTAGTTGGGAGTGCATGCGAAGCTTAATACATGGGTATAAGCCAAAAATAATGAACTTCAAATGAAGTGAAACAAACTCATTGCGCCATATAATACAAGAAAAGAAAAAACAATTTTAATTATTCATATTTCATTAGTGAGCGCACTCGAGCAGTGAGTTGTTCCGCCAAAAACCACCACCTCGCCCACACAGAAGGTGCCAGCTTTGCTTTGGCTTTGGCATTGGCTGACTGACTAACTGACTGAATGGTGGACTGACGGACCGATTGACTGACTGGTAACTGGTAAGGTAAAGGCGTGCGTTATATAAAATTTATAAAAATCAAAGCAAGCACAAGCGGTTCGGGCCAGTAAGTCAGGGAGCAGCGAAAGGAAATGTCAGTCAGTTAGTCGGGGGTTAGTGGGTGGGAGGGGGGGGGGGGGAGAGGAATACTGGTATTTTCACTTGCGCGTCAGCCAATCAGTAGTACAAGCAGTACAAGGAGAAAACAAAGGGCGAAGCTGCATACACATCGTCATCATTTGTCCTGTCGTGTCGAGGACCTTTGCCAGTTAGTAGTCGGCAGTTGGCAGCCGGGAACCGGCAACAACCGGCATCGTTTAGGCCAAGGCGCACAAATTGATGTATGTACATACATACCTACATACATACATACATATGTATACATTTATAAAGTGCGTGGCTCTGGCGCCGGAGTTGGCAATGGTGTTGGTGTTGGCGTTGGCTCCTGATGGGGCTGCTGAAAGGCAAAAAGGTAACTGGCATTAAAAATTTACACGCAATCAGAAAATGCTTCATGAAACTCATAAAGCGCGCCACTTTCATTTGAGCCGTCGACGAGCAGAAGCCGCCCAGTTGATGGATCAGTTGTAATGATAAGACAGCGCCAGGCCAAGTAAAATTTCCAAAACCCCTTTGCCACTCATCAGCCACTATACAAGCCCTTACGCCTTTTGAATTTTTGGTCGGAGCTGTGCACATAATTTACAACTTCCTTGGGCTTTACGCACACTTTCACTTTGGCAAGTGAACGAAGAGCAATTAGAGTGAAGGCTCCGCGCTTTTTTTTTTATTCTTTTTTTTTTTGTTTTGTAATGCAGGTGTCCAACCATTCGCATCGAGTCTATATATACCCTCACATATATAGTATGTATATATATATATATATATATTGGTACGCATAACGTTTCGGGCTTGACTTAAGGCTAACTTTGGGGCCAGACACGTGCCTGCTGCTCTGGCTGGCTGACATCTTATCGGGTTCGCTTACTGGGTCAACGTTGTTGCTTTGTCGTGATTTATTATGCCTTGAGTAGCCAGTCGAAGTCATCGTGTTGGTTCCTTCTCGGGGTTATTTTGTTTGACACAACGCCGTTTGGCACGTTTCTGTCCAAGAAATATGTACACACGTCGAGGGCCAACAAAGTGTGGCTGCAACAAACGTTGGATATTGCTGTTGGCTGTTGACCCCTTTTAAGGTGTTGACCAAACATCAGATTTACATTGATGACGTTTCGGCTGCTGGCCATTGGTAATGAATGCTTAAAATGCACTTGGCCGCTTGTTTTGCTGCCAATGTTGTCGATTTAGAGCATGACAATGGATTGAATTTTGGCCCACCTTCGATCAATCTTCAGTCGCTCTGTGGCATCTCTTCAGGACACTCAATGGCAGAGTTGACAGAGGAGACAATTCTTTGACTGTGACTTACATCGTCTATACATACGAGTATGTACAGGCGTTTAAAATTAAGACAGCTTTGATGTCAATATACATATACTCTAGTTCATTTATAAAAGTCGTTTGATAGTCTTAAATAATACTATCCTCGTACTATGTATGTTTGTCTGCAATTCTAGAATGCCTAATAATATCATTAATAGCTGGTCTGAATATGCAATAAAAGCGCAGAAAAGCTATCCAGAAGCAACAGTATTATAGATATTCTTGGAATCAATCTAGCTATGACAATGAAGATCCAGATTTGAAGAAGTGCGCTCTTGAGATGACGGAAATCGTCTTCAGCTCTCTCTACGTCCAAGCCTACTCTCTGCACAACCACCAGCTAGCAGGTAGGTATCTAAATTGTGCACAAACGCTGTGCGGCCCATCATCAATCAGTCGTCGTCGTAGCGCGAGTCTCGCTTTCCAATGCACACAATGATGCCACGGGGAGTTGGCAACACACGGAAGCGGCGAGAGGAGGACCATCTGCAAGAGTTTTCCATCCATGCAAGGTGCTTGCAGAAAACAAAAGGAGCTACAACATCAGCAACAACAACAAGAGAAGCCGCTTGTTTATTTAATATTCACATTTCAATTGCTTTTCCTTTTGGACCAACTCACCAGCTACAATACTCGGCAGCCACTCGGCCGGGTTCATCGCGCACTGCACCCCTCATGACTCCTCTCCGGGTGGCTATGCTTCATTCGTTGCCCTTACATTTGTTTGCTTTGACTTTTGAGCTTTCCTTTGGCGTTGGCGTTGGAGTTGACGACGACGACTACGATGACTACGAGGACGACGAGGACGTTGGGGCGCGGGTTGTGATTGCGACGGCAATGGCGTCCTCCTGGTCTTTATTTATAAAAATTTCATAAAGTTTCGTGCTATTAAAAATTGACTATATTCTCGCGCGAATACGCAATGGAATATTAATAGCATAAAAAGAAATTCAGAGTTGGTACACAAATAAGCAATTTTTAACAACAGAACGAACAAATAGTAACTGAACTATTTAAGCAGTAAATCTTAAGTACAAAATGAATCTCACAACCATCAACAGAAATGAACAGGATAAGTTCAGCGAAAGCCTCAATAACAATACTACATATCCTCGATACACAACTTCAGATCAAATCCATCGGAAGCTCGCGCAATGCTGCTCATCATAAGGACTTTCTGCAGGAGTGGCATTTTACTTATGTTCGCAGTCATGACATCCTTTAGGAGCTTCATAGCCTCGCCACCACTCATTGCGTTGCGCCAAGCAGCATCAAAGGCCCTCAGAATGTGATCAGAATTAAAGCCGTGTGCGGCATATTTCGAGGAACTGATTACAGTGCCGTCTATTTGGAAACTGAAGATAAGCACCTGATCGTTACATATACCGCCCAAAATAATTGGAGCATAGACAGCTTCTCTTCTACGTGCGCCTATCAATTCAAGCGCCCGCTTCATACGGGACTCCAACTCTTTGTTACTAATACCACCTCTCCGGTCGGGCAGCAACTGCGCTCGAATCTCGACCGCAATGCTCCGTCCCACACCTGACTTGGGTCCGATGCAGCTGCAGGTGAGAAACACAACACCATTCTGTGCTCAACCAGCGAAATAATTTGTGCACTACTTACAACATATAGTCGAATAAATATTCCAACTGTGCATTGCGCGTGTCCAGAGCAAAGATCACACCGCCCTTGTGGGCCACTATGGCCATGCTATCATTGGTTGGATGCCTCGGCAGACCATAAAACATTACACTCAGCATCTTGCCGAGATAGGCAAGCAGACTTTGGCTCCCTCTAGACGCAGAATGTGAACAGATTATAACATTATAGCTGATACAACTTACGGTTTCCTCACAGCTTCAAGTTCCAGCTCTATTTCAGATCCCATGTAGTACAATAATTATTATATTATTTTCCTGTTCCTGCTGTGAAATAGTGTTTGACACATTTTCTATTTGTTTCAAGCAATAGCAAATATACATTTAAGTACCTACCTACATACATATGTATGTATGTACAAATGTTCTATTGTGAAAGAAATGGGAGGTGTGTGCGTAATTTGTGAATGGTATTTGCAGTTCCCCCAAGAAGCAGATAAATACCAAAAGCGCATGCGCACATACATACTAGTATGTACATTTGTATGTATGTATGTAATTAAGTAATTGTTAATTGTTGTGTGTCTATCGACATCATTCGCATTCGAATTTTTTTTGCAAATATAATCAATTTTCAATTGGCTGCAAGGAACGACAAACATTTCAAGATGAACCTAAACGCTGCAAGTGAGGGCAACGAATTGAAGAAGATGGAGTCGAGCAAAGTCGAAGCTGACGAATTTGCTGAAATCACGTATCTGTCTTACCAATATTCCGGGATTCATATGAGCTGTTGAAGACACATATAGAGGATCCGAATCAGCAAGTGATTGCGCACATAATATCGAAGTGTCTGCTCGGAAACTAGGAAACCCGCATCCATTTGAGAGCCCGGAAAAAGAACATATTGCCAACTGTGGCAGAGGAGGCAGAGGAAGCCACTACTGTTGTGCAGAAAAATCAGCCCAAAGCAATGCCCTCCTCGTCGTATTTACCAGCAGAGGAAGAGCAGGGGGATTACGATGACGACAAACCCAGAAACGTGTCAGGGAGCCAAAGAAAAGCAAACTACAGGCGCATAGCTGCTTACAACAAATAAAACTAAATAAATGAACTGGCTTTGAAATATTTATAAATATTACTACTACTACTTAGTATTACATAGTTTTAAGGAACACTGTGTTACGGGCAAATATAAGTTGTCCTTTGATGATGCAGTCAGACTTACAATAATATGTCATAATATGTATAAAAATCCGCTAAAATATCTCTTTAATTGCCAGGGGCATGTAGACAGCGAAGCTTTATAAACAATTCCGAATGAAATAGTTCATAATAACTACCACAACAAAAACGTTAAATGTCTGCAATAAAAAGAATTAACCTTTGTTTTTTAAACGAATGTTCTATTCTTAAGCTTGGGCTACCAAGGGGGCTCAGATATTGCAGGACAACGGAGAACATTTCTTCATTGTGTTTCTTCAATAAGTATACAAATTAAATTGGAAATTTTTCTTAAGTCAATGACATTAGTACGATGCATCGTTCCATCGCATCGTGGTAAAGCTATACTACAAGTATATATATGACTAGAAAATATGACTCTGTAATCGAGCAGGTGTTTAGATAGGGACAAATCTATTTATTTTCAAGTTATTTACAATTTTCATTCCATTTCCTTCCATATTTTATGAACATCTTAATGTGAAGATGTTCGGTTACATTTTGTGTTGGGAATGGAATCGTAAAGAATGTTGCAGAACGCTTTCAATAAACATTCGATGTTATAGACACAAATTTATGAATGGCATAAAATATTCAAAGAGCGTCGAGAATGCGTTGCAGACGAACCACATCCAAGACGACCAAGAACATCAACTGATGAACTACATGTTAAGCATATCAGAGAGGAATATGAATACGACGATGGGGCCACTATATACTGAGTGTTATTACAATCTGTACATGAAATCCACAAGAGTATATTAGTTTTGCAGGATCTAGCCGGATCCGTCCGTCTGTCCGTATGAACACCTGGATCTCAGAGACTATACGAGATAGAGACATCAAATTTTGCACAAAGATGCCCTATGTGTGTACGCTATACGAGTTTGTTTTAGTTTTTGGATTTTCCCCCCCACTTACCCCCTGTGGGGGATTTCCCGATTTTCCGTTCGAATAATCACCTATATCTCGGAGACTATAAGACCTAGGGACACCACATTTTAGTCCAAGATACCTTATGTGAATATGATGAAAATGGAATTTCTCTCCTCTCTCACGCAATCACTGATTTTCCATAACTGCCGCATTTGTTTGCATTTTTGCTCAAATTTGGCAAATACCTTCAGTTAGTCATTATGTGCTTCATTATGATAGGCCGATTTAACAGGAAGTTATAGGCATATATGTATATATATAATGTCAGGCCAAGCACTGCCCGCAGCTGTTGTTGTTGTTGCTGCTTTGCACAGGCACACGAGACGCACACAAACAGAGACAAACACGCATATTTTTGTTCAACACATATGAACAGAGTATTTCAAAGACGGGGCACCCGACTTTAGCTTCTCCACTTGTTTTTTTTTTTTTTTTTTTTTTGTCCGCAAAAAGTCGTTGCTGCTTTCCCAGGTTTTTTCTGTATATTGGTATACCTATTTATTGTACATGCAATGCTACGCATTAATTAAATAAAGAGCATTGATTTTTCAAGCGCACAACATCGAATCAACGACCCGCTCCAAGTAAGGACAACGGCAACATACGTGTGTGCGTGTGTGTGTGTGTGCCATGTATTTACATTCACGTATGCATGCATGTATATGTATGTACGAGTGTATGAGTGGCTATATAGAAAGCGTCATTGCTGCGTAGTCAAATGAAGTTAACCAAGTTTACTCACATTTATCGTATGCATAAGTATATAATGTGCACATGGCTGGACAGCGTTGATGTCCGTACCGTACCGCGAGCGTCCAGGAGCAACACGATGAATCCAGGAGGCACCGGCAATGAGTTTAATGTGCGCTGTCGCTTTTTGGTCGTATTTAAACCACAGCAAGTTATCAGGCAAATTGAATTTTCAACGTATGGTCGCACATTGCGTTGGCATCGGTGTGTGGGTGCAAATACTGACCACGCCTCCGAGGCACGCAGCGTCGATCCTTTAAAATTGTGTTCGCGTTCCTCTCCTCATCAGCTGGACAGCGAAGTTTCTGTTCTCGTTGTTGTTGTTGTTGTTGTTGTCGCTGTCGCTGCTGCCATTGCTGCTCGCTTCCTTCGTTTCTCGTTACAAAATTACCCACGATAAAAATTGAATTACTTCGTCGTTGTCCTCATCGTCATCCTTGCTGTTGCCTAGCTGTGGGGCGCATTGTCGGTGCTTGACACGCCCGGGCCCCCGCCCACATCTCAGACCCAGCACAGAACAGAACAGAACAGAACAGCACGGCACCGCATACTACTTAAATGACACTGAAACTGTTGCCTGGCCAGCTTTCGGTCCACTGGTATGTGTATGTGTATGTGTATGTCTGTGCTTCTGAGTGTGTGGGTATGACTTGGTCTAATGATAAATGAGCTGCAATGGATGACAGCGAATCAACTTAAGTGTATTGCTCTGCTTCGTTGCGCTATCCCCATCCTCTTCCATGCCGCACTGGCTGGCTACCCTGTCAGCCACTGCACTTTCTCTTTACACTTATTTTTTGTTTTTTCCTTTTGGTTTGCTTGTGTTTACGTTTCATTTTTAAACTCCACGCTACACTAAATATTTACATTAAGAAGAAAGCAACTTTCTTGTAAGTTCAAGTAAAATACTTTAAGGACTACAAGTTAAGGAATGTTTTGCAGCATGTTAATGAAGCTAATATATAGTACAAATTTCTGACTGATTGGGCACATTTATTTTATTTGAAATACTAATAAATTATAAGTTAACAAAAAAAAAAGGTAAGTATGTATTATGGGTTGCCAATATTAAATAATTTATTATGATATTATATAGGATAGTGGTTTGTTACAGAGTTATGTCCTTTCGTATGTGTTCGTTCTGCATGGAAGCATTATTTGCGCAAGCAACGAGCATCGTCCTTGTCTACACAACTCTTGGTGGGGAAATCGAAGCGTTGCTTCTTATCGCAACGCAAGTGCACGAGTTTGCGCTCGCCAGATTGCTTGACCTCACAGCGGTAATACTTCTTGCAGTCTTTTACATCAGGATAAACGTCGTCCTCGTCGCAGTCGTCCTCGTCTTTTATCTTCTTAGCGATTTCCTTTGCCTTTTCTTTACGTTCCTTCGAACTCAGCTCATCATCGTTCTCATTATCTTTTGACTTTTTCTTCTCGCTGTCCTTTTCCTCCTTTGAGTCTTTGGAATCGTCAGATTTGCTCTGATCTTTGTTATCCTTTTTATCCTTCTTATCGCTCTTCTTTTCAGCAGAGCTATTTTCAATTGGTTTGTTTTGCTCCTTGGAATCTTTCGGTTTGTTTTCCTTTTTCTCTTCTACGGATGCATTTTCAACGGAGCTGCTTGGCTTCTTTTGCTCCTTAGACTGATCTTCCACAGGCTTTGGTTTGTTCTTACCTCCCTTTTTCTCTTCTACAGAGGCGTTTTCATTAGGTAGAGGAATATTAGCTGGTGGCGATACTGGCTTCTCCACAGGAGCGGCACTTTCAGATCCGGAACCATCGTTGTTACCCTCGGGCTGGCTAGCTATTGGCGCTGCAGTAGTCGTGACAGGTTTCCTACTGTTGCGCCAGCTGTTGACCCAGTTTTTCCAATTGGGCCAGAATGGCAACAGAGGACGACGGGGCGGAATCACCTGACCATTGTTATTATTACTGTTTCCGTTACCAGAATTGCTGGCGCTGCCGTTTTCATTGTTGTTGCCACCTGCAGATCCGGCATTATTTCCATTGGAGCCAGGGGGCACTGGTCGCCAGACGGGGAAATTGGGGAAGCCTGGGCGGAAAGGAGGCAGAGGATGGCCCGGAAGTGTTGGGCGGCTTGGTTGAACCCACGGCCATGAGCCTGGTCCGCCAGGATATATAGGAACTGATGGGATAGGTGCGTTGGGTGCATTCGGATCTACTGGAGAATTGGGATCAACAGGCGTATTCGGGTCCACGGGGCTGACTGGAGCATTTGGATCGACTGGTGCATTCGGATCAACTGGTGCGTTGGGATCAACTGGTGCATTAGGATCGACTGGAGCATTAGGATCAACTGGTGCGTTGGGGTCCACGGGGCTGACTGGAGCATTGGGATCGACTGGGGCATTAGGATCAACTGGTGCGTTGGGATCAACTGGTGCATTAGGATCGACTGGAGCATTAGGATCAACTGGTGCGTTGGGGTCCACCGGGCTGACTGGTGCATTGGGGTCAACTGGCGCATTCGGGTCCACGGGGCTGACTGGAGCATTTGGATCGACTGGGGCGTTAGGATCGACTGGGCCATTAGGATCAACTGGTGCGTTGGGGTCCACCGGGCTGACTGGAGCATTCGGATCAACTGGGGCATTAGGATCAACTGGGGCATTAGGATCGACTGGTGCGTTGGGGTCCACCGGCCTGACTGGCGCATTTGGATCGACTGGAGCGTTAGGATCAACTGGGGCATTAGGATCGACTGGTGCGTTGGGATCTACCGGGCTGACTGGTGCATTGGGATCAACTGGCGCATTTGGATCGACTGGAGCGTTAGGATCGACTGGGGCATTAGGATCGACTGGTGCGTTGGGATCTACCGGGCTGACTGGTGCATTGGGATCAACTGGCGCATTTGGATCGACTGGAGCGTTAGGATCGACTGGGGCATTAGGATCGACTGGTGCGTTGGGATCTACCGGGCTGACTGGTGCATTGGGATCGACTGGGGCATTAGGATCGACTGGAGCGTTAGGATCGACTGGGGCATTAGGATCAACTGGTGCGTTGGGGTCCACCGGGCTGACTGGTGCATTGGGATCAACTGGCGCATTTGGATCGACTGGAGCGTTAGGATCGACTGGGGCATTAGGATCAACTGGTGCGTTGGGATCGACTGGGGCATTAGGATCAACTGGTGCGTTTGGATCAACTGGTGCATTAGGATCGACTGGTGCATTGGGATCAACTGGCGCATTCGGGTCTACGGGGCTGACTGGAGCATTGGGATCGACTGGAGCATTAGGATCGACTGGGGAATTAGGATCAACTGGTGCGTTGGGGTCCACTGGACTGACTGGAGCATTGGGATCGACTGGAGCGTTAGGATCGACTGGCGTATTCGGGTCTACGGGGCTGACTGGAGCATTGGGATCGACTGGAGCGTTAGGATCAACTGGTGCATTAGGATCAACTGGTGCGTTAGGGTCCACCGGGCTGACTGGCGCATTTGGATCGACTGGGGCATTAGGATCAACTGGTGCATTAGGATCGACTGGTGCATTGGGATCGACTGGTGCATTAGGATCGACTGGGGAATTAGGATCAACTGGTGCGTTGGGGTCCACTGGACTGACTGGAGCATTGGGATCGACTGGTGCATTGGGATCAACTGGCGCATTCGGGTCTACGGGGCTGACTGGAGCATTGGGATCGACTGGAGCGTTAGGATCAACTGGTGCATTAGGATCAACTGGTGCGTTAGGGTCCACCGGGCTGACTGGCGCATTTGGATCGACTGGGGCATTAGGATCAACTGGTGCATTAGGATCGACTGGTGCATTGGGATCGACTGGTGCATTAGGATCGACTGGGGAATTAGGATCAACTGGTGCGTTGGGGTCCACTGGACTGACTGGAGCATTGGGATCGACTGGTGCATTGGGATCAACTGGCGCATTCGGGTCTACGGGGCTGACTGGAGCATTAGGATCAACTGGTGCATTAGGATCAACTGGTGCGTTGGGGTCCACCGGGCTGACTGGTGCATTTGGATCGACTGGGGCATTAGGATCAACTGGTGCATTAGGATCGACTGGAGCGTTGGGGTCTACAGGGCTCACAGTAGTTGTAACATTAGGATCTACGGGCGCATTGGGATCAACTGGAGCGTTAGGATCCACGGGTGCGTTGGGATCGACGGGAGCATTAGGATCCACAGGTGCGTTGGGGTCCACCGGGCTGACTGGTGCATTGGGATCAACTGGCGCATTTGGATCGACTGGAGCGTTAGGATCGACTGGGGCATTAGGATCGACTGGTGCGTTGGGGTCCACCGGGCTGACTGGTGCATTTGGATCGACTGGGGCATTAGGATCAACTGGTGCATTAGGATCGACTGGTGCATTGGGATCGACTGGGGCATTAGGATCAACTGGTGCGTTGGGATCAACTGGTGCATTAGGATCGACTGGTGCATTGGGATCAACTGGCGCATTCGGGTCTACGGGGCTGACTGGAGCATTGGGATCGACTGGAGCGTTAGGATCGACTGGCGTATTCGGGTCTACGGGGCTGACTGGAGCATTGGGATCGACTGGAGCGTTAGGATCAACTGGTGCATTAGGATCGACTGGTGCGTTGGGGTCCACCGGGCTGATGGGAGCATTTGGATCAACTGGCGCATTAGGATCCACTGGTGCATTAGGATCAACTGGAGCGTTGGGGTCTACAGGGCTCACAGTAGTTGTAACATTAGGATCTACGGGCGCATTGGGATCAACTGGAGCGTTAGGATCCACGGGTGCGTTGGGATCGACGGGAGCATTAGGATCCACAGGTGCGTTCGGATCCACGGGAGCATTAGGATCTACAGGGCTCACAGTAGTTGTTGCATTAGGGTCGACGGGCGCATTAGGATCAACTGGTGAGTTAGGATCTACTGGGCTGGCAGTAGTTGTAGCATTAGGGTCGACGGGCGCATTAGGATCAACTGGTGCGTTCGGATCCACGGGTGCGTTGGGATCGACGGGAGCATTTGGATCCACTGGAGCATTGGGATCTACTGGCACGTTGGGATTAACTGGAGCATTAGGATCTACAGGGCTCACAGTAGTTGTTGCATTAGGATCCACGGGCGCATTGGGATCAACTGGCGCATTGGGATCAACTGGGCTGACAGTTGTTGTTACATTAGGATCTACGGGTGCATTAGGATCAACTGGCGCATTGGGATCCACTGGCGCGTTGGGATCCACAGGTGCATTAGGATCAACTGGCGCATTGGGATCCACTGGCGCGTTGGGATCCACAGGTGCATTAGGATCAACTGGTGCATTAGGATCTACAGGGCCCACAGTAGTTGTTACATTTGGATCAACTGGTGCGTTAGGATCTACAGGGCTCACGGTAGTTGTTGCATTAGGATCGACGGGCGCATTAGGATCAACTGGTGCGTTAGGATCTACTGGGCTGACAGTAGTTGTTGCATTCGGATCCAAAGGAGCATTGGGGTCAACTGGTACATTTGGATCACTTGGGTCGACAGGTGCATTGGGGTCTGCAGGGCTCACAGTAGTTGTCGCATTAGGGTCTACAGGAGCGTTGGGATCTGCAGGGCTCACAGTAGTAGTAGGATCAAGTGGATCAATGGGTGCAGTAGGATTCACTGGGCTCAATGTAGTACCGACCGGTGCACTAGTTGTGTCGGCAATAGTTGTTTCTTCGGGTATGCTCGGTAGAGTCGATTCAGGCTCAACTGGTGCGTTTGTTCCAACTGTTGTAGAGTCAATGGGCTGCGTAGTGGTTTCCCATGGCCCAACAGTTGTGTCAGTTGTCTCAACTGGAGCTTCCGTGGAAGAAGTAGTCAACACAGGAGCTGCAGTGGATTGTACAGGAGCATCAGTGATCTGAATTGTAGCTGCCTGCACAAGAATTGCTGGCAAGCTAATACTGGCCGGACTATCAGTCAACGGGGCAGCTGAAGGTTCCGCCTCTGGAACCTTGACTGGGACGCATATCTCGACACTATCGTTCACACATCGAGTATTGGCACCGCACAGTATAACATCTCCGGAAGTGACGCCTCCACTGCATCTCTGATAGGTAATCGGTCCCACGCACACAACCGACTTTCCCTCGCAGCTTAAAGCCTGCGCCTCAACAAGCTGTTGACTAGTGACCAAGGCAGACAACTACAAAAGATCAAAGACAACAAAAAAAACGTACATAATTTTATTAAGTACCAAACAGGTCTGGCTGGTTTATACGCTAACTGTAACATATTGGGTACTCTCGAGGACACCCTCACAATCACAATCTCAATAACACTGGATTAGTTTCACTTGCATAGGGTACTCTTGATTCACCGTTGAGTGCTTTGAGCGATATCCAAAGTAGTAAGAGTGCCGGGAGTAGCTTTGGTTAGTTATGGTTGGGTTTGGTTTTGGGCACACGTATCCACAATCCGCACATTGTATCACAAAATTCCAATAAAATACAACTCATGAATACAAAAAAATAATATCAATTTTCATCACTACTAATTGGATGTACATGGGTGGACGGGGTTGGTGGAATTTGATTTGGTGATTGATTTGTTGGTTGTCGCGTAGTTAAGAATATGCAATTACCACTAGTAATAGTAAATATCTGGTTATTTTTTTCGTAGTCATCGTCGTTGTGTTTTGTTCGAATGTAAAATCGTTACTATTTTCTATATAGCATCCTAGAGCGCTTTTATGCAAAAAATATCCGCAGTTATCTTGCGAATCAGTGTGACACTTTGTAAATACCCAAGATTATCGCTGTTGTTTGCGCCAGATAAAGGTAGAAACAATTTATGATGTTGCGGCTCACTGTTGAGCCGCTCGACATTCAGGGAGTGGGGGTGTTCTGGATTTTTCCTATTTACTCAAGCACTTGCCACCGTGTAAACATATTTCGAGTGTCCAAAACATTAACTGTTTTGTTTCATTTCTTTGCGTTTCGGGTGATATAATAATAGAGTTTGCTTTATGTGAACTTTTAGATGAAGCCGTTATCTTCGCCCAACCGGAGAGGTCTGGCCAACTTTGAACAGTCGAAAGAGTAAAAGTTCTCAAAAGCAACGTCGTGTTTACCCATCTATAAATATTTTTAGGAATATATATAGTAGTAGTAGCCCCAATTTTTCCTACGTATGTGTATAACCTGATATTATTTTTTCAGAAACCGGCGCATCATTTCGCATGAATCACAGTGGATAAACAGTTGTCTTATCAGCTCAAGTGGTTCATGATCATAATAATGAAGCTTCAGTTATATATATAGTATATAAGTATGTAGGAGAATATTAAGCTTGTATTTTTGTGGGTGCCACAATCTTAGCGTAACATTCAAGCAAACATCAGGGGGAAAAATGATAAAAAGCTGCGCATTTCCGTTGGCTGCTGCTTTGCTTTATTTGCTCAATTCTAAATGTAAATAAACAGTTGGCTTTTTTAATTGCCATGCGTTTACTAGCTGCTCTGCTACTTTCTATTGAAATATTCCCGGAAATGCTACGCTATTTAGTATGTGTAAGACTAGGAGTACATACATATATTGTATAGTTTGAGCTGAGAACATATGTATATTGACCCAGCTTTCGCTACTTTACGCAATCATATATCAATTGTTTTTATTCGAGCTGTATCATGAGCATCATGACAGATTATTTGTTTGCCCGAACATGCTGGCATGCCCGAACCCGAACCCGAACCCAGATCCAATGACGCAAAAGACCCGCCGACCTTTCTCTTTCGCTGGCGCTTTTCGCTATCACCACAACTGATTCGAACGAAAAACAACAAAGAAAACACAAAAGAAAAATAGCGATAATGAATTTCATGAGGTTTTAGATAAAGGGATGCTATCCATGCGTCTGGTCCATCAAATGCATATCATAAGATAAGAACCCGTGCTGTCAAGATAATCTGCTCACTACGTCAGCTGCAAGTCCACGAGCCACTTACACAATTGTAATTCAACAACACATAAACAAAGTCGTACATACATATGTACATTTACATTGTGTAACCTGTTATCTGTTTATACTCGTAGTTTCATTGTTTTCCACGTCTTACATTTCATTATAAAGACAAACATTCAGGAAGTAATTAGAAAACAACAATACTACACGTGTTCGAATGTTTACTTTGCGCAACAGGCATTCAAATAATTTGATGTTTATAATGCACGACAGGATGTCATAAACGTGTCTAAATATTGATCTCATCAGTGTTCAATATCCTCTTCTTGTTGCACACATTTTAAGTGATGATCGGTAGATTTGGTGGTCCAGATCATTAATGACTACGTTCAAAAGTTACGTATCAGCTAAATCCAATTAGGGATAAAATTTCATCGGAAAAATAAAGCTGTACGCTTTCTGGATCTCAAAGAATTTAATTAAACATAGTTTTTTAATACACATAGTACATATTAATATACATACATTTTTATATACTGTTGAGTGAGTTAAGTGAATAACAATTGACAGTATTTTAAAAGTTCTCGTTAAACTCAATTCTCACGATCTTTGGTCGATCTCAATCGACTTATTCTTATCTGTTATCGGTTACTATCGATTATTGATTACCGTTAACTATATTCACTACTTAGCTATTCGATCATTAATTGGTCACTGCCTAATTATTAGCTGTTAGTGATTACTGGTTGTTCCTACTGTTACGCAGTTAGGACATTCCTTCAATACATACATTTTTCTTATGCCCATAATCTTCAATTTATGTTTTCCAATCTCTCTACATTTGACAAAGATTTGCAAGTTCTTTATTGATTTTATTCCAAACAATTAATTTTGTCTACGTACATAACAGATATCTTGGATATCTAGAAGACTTATAAAAGCCTGCTAGAAACGTCAAATTATGTAATTTTTTTTTGTTTGAATGTAGAGTCCTTCATCGCCGATGCGAAATGCCTTACAAACATCTGCACGTTCCCAAAGACCCCAGCGAGCCCAGAGACGTGCAGGTGGTTGTCATTGTATATGCCCTTTGAAGTACAGAATTTCCATAAAATTGAGCAATTAAGCGTTATACTTTTTCCATTTTTATTTGACTTTATTTAATGCGGTTACATTGTGTATATAAAAACGCAAATGCAATGCACATTGCGGTTTTACATGTCTAGACAATACAATAAATACAGTTAGTATATGCTACACACACACACATGCACTCACATTTCGATGGTCAGTTTCTGTTCATACTTTAAAAATATTTCGATTGGAAACAATTCAAATGTGGGCTATACTTCATGCTTCGATGGGTTTCATTGTAATTTGCTCTGAAAGCTTGTAGAAGTTTCGAAATTAAAGGAACCTACAACTCATTATCAACCTGATATTGGAACAACATATTTATATATATGTCAACAAACGTAGACTGTCGACATAGAAATGGAATATACTTATATAAAAATTAAAAAAAAAACATTTTAAAGCTAGGAAACACTACGTAGAAGAAAAATAATAAAATAACGCCTCCGCCCCGTTGGGGGAATATTATATGCCTTTCGGCTAGCTGTGCCGATAGTGTGGTCAGAGGCATCAAAAACACTTAACAGAGAAAATCTTAGAAATTAATTAAAAGCTAGTTAAAACTAGGAACGAATGGAAGAGAGAATAAAAATTGAATCTCAGACCCGGTGGGGGGAGATTTATTAGTCAGTCCGGCAAGCTATGCCCCGTCTCACAGTCATTCCTGGCCAGAGATTCCGGAGAAGGCTGAAATTAGAGGCTTTTATTAATATTATTATTATATTATCATGTGGAAATATTCATTGTTTGTTGAGCATAAAACCTGAAGAGGATTGTGCAACCAGCTGTACATACTTATATTAAGAAAAACAAAATGTACAAAATATGATTGTGAAAAGAAATGGGTCTGGAGTTTAAGGTAGCAAGACTAATGTCTTAAGAGTTAAATCAGAAAAGGTAGAAAGGCCACGTTATGAAGAGCATAAGAGAAACAATATTGGGAACAATATTGTGTAAGCCTTTCCTAGAAATGTAAAGTGAACGATAATCAAACTAAAGGTAACTATTTGTTGTTATTCAGTTACCTACATATACACAAGTAATTAGCTTCAGCTTTAGCATGAATATTAATTAAGCAATTCCTTTCACGTATTTAGTATTGATGGTATATTTTCTCACTAGAAAATGATAGAAGATTTTTGTTTGAATATGATTTCATTCCCTTAGGAACGTATTCGTATGCTTAGCCGCAAGTGAGCCTACAATACAAGTAGGAATAGTCTTTGTAGTCATTCTCTTGGCTGTCCGTCGGTCGCAAAGGAATGCGCGGCTAGTCGCTTTGTCTGTGTAGCGACATTCAGTTCTGCTTCCAAATAGTTGAGAGTTGGCCAAGTGTCGACAGAAACATAACGTTGCAAGCAAACACACACACACACACGCACACAGAGAGATGTACATACAGGATACAAAGAGTCATTTGGCAGGAAGAAATTATGCAAGTTCTGCGACTCTCCGGTATTCGCTTCTGCTCCATGCTCCATGGTCGATGCACCAGGCAACGGGTAGCGGCCAACAGGCTCCGTTAATGTTGTTGGCATTTGGGCTGCGGCTGTGGCGGCTACTGTGGCTACCGCGCAGCGCTCTTGGCTCATTGGCGTTGCACAAAGCGGTCAGACGGGGGGCGTGAGGCATGGGGTGCAGTTGCAGTTGCAGTGGCAGGTGGCAGGTGGACGTCGATGGACGAATATGGAGAAGATGGAACGAGCGGGCTCGCATTTTCGTTGGCGGCTACTGCAAAATTTGCATAAATTAACAATGTTGCGCAATTGAAGCCACTCATGCAGTGCATTCTGGCGCTCAGTCGGGTTCGGTGGGCGGGCGCTGTCATTGTCGCTGTTGCAGGGGCGTGGCAAGGGTGCCCGCACAATCCATGCGTCCATGCGTTGTTCGCGTTCAGCACGCGCGTTTTATTGATTTGATGCTTCAATGCACTTATTATCCCTCAGGCGAGCAGCGACAGCGACAGCAGGCGCAGTTAATCCCATGGCGACACACAACACACCAACACACCAACTCACGCACACACACCCACTCACGTGCGCACCAATACGCAAACAAACTCACGCATTGTGGTTGTGCCCGAAAAGTTGGTCAAGTTTTTGGCTCTAGTGCCGTAGTATCGATATGGCTTTCACAAAAATTCATATAATACCTAGTCTTTTTCTACTCGGACCAGAGTTAATTAGACTTTAGCAGGACCTTGGCTCTAAAAGTAAGCCCGTGACGTTTTAGTTATCGAATCGGTATCGACACCTATAACTGAAAGAGGAACTACTCTATCGATTTGCATTAAAAATGGGGTTGTAAGTAAAGTAGAAAGTGGGTGTAGGGGTCGGCTGTGTTCCGATAAATCGGAACAACAAATCGATACATCGATTCATTTCTTTTTCTGGTTTTTTCTTCGTTACTTATTTGAAATGTATATTTCCTAAGTCTCCAACAATATTCCGTTTGCTTTTGAATGCATTTTTAAATTAAGCTCTCGATGTTTTTGCCAAAGCATCATCGGAAAAAATGGAGTACTTATTATCAGCACATCGACTTGTAAAAAAATCGATGTTTTTTTAAAACCCCGTATTTTGAATATTTATTTAGGTCTTGGGCCACTCTAATGCCGCACTGCACTACAGCTTGCATTGTAATTTGCGATAATCTGTATGTGTGTGTGTGTGTTTATGGAGTGGTGTGGTGAGGTGGAGTGGGGTGGGTTGGAGCTTTGGCGAGTTATGCAGCACTGAACGCGCGGAAAAACTGAAATCATCATGAAGTCAATTAATCAAATAGTCGGTCAGTCAAACGTCAGAGCCAATCGATTTATTCGTGTATGCGTCAACGGTTGTCCTAGTCGGAAAATTTTTCCCCTACATCTATCGAACACGACTCGAAAAATCATAACAAACTATTTCGACAATTACCAGAGATAGAGTACTTGCCAAATTTAACGTGTGCACGACCTTGAACATGTCAGACAATTTATCACCTGATAACGATAACGGCAGCTGGTGCCTTATTGAGAGCGATCCGGGTGTCTTTACGGAGCTAATCAGTGGCTTTGGCTGTGTGGGTGCTCAGGTCGAGGAGATCTGGAGTTTGGAGACCTTCAGCCATCTGGAACCCATACACGGTCTGATATTTCTCTTTAAATGGGTGCAGGACGATGTGGTAACTGGGGTTGTGGCCCCCGAACGTTCGGACATCTTTTTCGCCAAACAGGTGATCAATAATGCCTGCGCCACTCAGGCCATTCTCAGTCTGCTCTTGAACTTGAAGCACGAGGATATACAATTGGGTGAGACTTTGACTAATTTTAAGCAGTTCTGCCAGCAGTTCGACCCCTACACCCGTGGCCTGGCGCTGAGCAATGCAACGAAAATTCGCGATGTTCATAATTCGTTTGCGCGGCCCACACTCTTTGAACTGGAAATGAAGCAGCCATGCCGCGAGGAGGATATCTACCATTTTGTGGGCTATATGCCCATCAACGGACGCCTGTTTGAGCTCGATGGCTTACAGGAGGGACCCATAGATCTCGGTGAAATCGGCAGCGCTAGGTCCTGGGTGGATGTGGTGCGACCCATTATTGAGGCGCGCATTCAACGCTACAGTGCCGGCGAAATTCATTTTAATTTAATGGCACTGATCTCAGATCGGCAGTGCATCTATGAGCGCCAGATTGAGGCGCTACAAAAACCAGACTGCATGGGGACGACCTTACTACCCGAGGCGGAGCGTCTGGCCGAAATAGGGAGCCTGCAGGCCCAATTGAAGTTCGAGGTGGAGAAGAAGAAACGCTATCATCAGGAGAATATGCGTCGGCGCCACAACTATTTGCCCTTTATAGTGGAACTGTTAAAGCAATTGGGCCAGACGGGTCAGCTGATGCCCATCTACGAGCAGGCCAAGAATCATGCCATGCAGCGCCAGCCGGATCGAGAGGAATAGGACCTGGCCTGAGAGCGCGCCAAAGTATCATAGAATAATATTTAGCATTCAAATTAAATGTCCTCCAATCATTTCCTTCACTTTTCGGGCTGCAATATAATCTGTCAACTGCGTTCTTGTTACTCTGTCACAAACTTCAATTTGCATTTAAGCTAACTGCCAACTGCCAACTTCTGCGCGTCTCCGCTTAGCAAAACTAAAACAAAAAGCATAGATGCAGATACAGAGAAAGCAAGAGCAAGAGCAAGAGCAAAAGAAAGCATGATTTCTTTTTAATGCTTCGATAAACTCAACTCAAAACTCGTTGTGGTCGAGGCTGCTCTTATTTGTTTATGTTGCGCAAAGTAAACAACTAATTTTAATTTGCCGCAGGAGCCACAGACGACAAGATGACGACGACATCGTCGCTGTCCAGCCATGTAAACCCACAACGGCATCCGCCACCGCCGCCGCTATCGCCATACAACAAAGGCTTGCCAGGCAAATCAAATAAGAGCAAGGCTTCACCCACACACTCTCAACTAACCGCAAACAGGCAAAACATACTTTCTGACTCCACCTTTCCCCCACTTTCCTCGCTCGTCCTGTATTCGGCTGGAGCTCGGTCCACACAGCCTTGTAACAAGTGTTATCGTTTTGGGAAGAAGCACACATTACCAGACAATTGTTCGACCGCAAATTCTTGGGAATATTATGTAAAATTCTGTATGCAATTCAAATATTCCAGCCCTCTAACATGTGTTACATAAATATTGTATTTAAGATAAAAGTCCAGCAAATAGATGTTCCCCCGAATCCACTTTAAAATAGTGATGTAATGCTTAAGAAATGAATATTATGTATACGTACAATTAAAATATAAATGTCTAGCACTTTAGCATGTGTTACATAAATATTGTGTTTAAGATAAAAGTCCAGCAAATATATGTTCCCCCGAATCCACTTTAAAATAGTGATGTAATGCTTAAAAAATTAATATTATGTATACGAACAATTAAAATATAAATGTCCAGCACTTTAACATGTGTTACATAAATATTGTGTTTACGATAAAAGTCCAGCAAATTAATGTTCCCCCGAATCAGCTGTAAAATAATAATTTAATGATATTCCTTTATTTCTAAAGATAGCAAAAATGAGCTCAAAAAGAATCTGAAGCCGTTGCCAGAACTGGTTGCCATACAAAACAATTATTATTGGATCCGACAAATAGCACACCTAATTGGAAAGCACATATATCTCTATTCATCAAAAGTAGTCCCGAGCATATTCCACGCGTCATAATAACTAATGGATTTCTGTTTTAGCTTTACAGAACAGATAACGAATACTGTATAAAAATGTTGTTCTAAAATTAATAATTCTTGTTAATAGATTTAGAATGCGTTATTTGAAGTCCCATTGGATTATCTCGAATATATTATATACAAGTACGTCTGTTATATGGTGGACAAATAAAAAATAAATCATAATATAAACAAATTTGAGGGGGAACTTTTTTATGATATATGTATGTACTTGTATTATCTTTTGTTGGTCTAAAGCAACAGTAACAGTAAATGATTGAAATTTTGCATTTTGGTAGCGGAAACTTGAATTGGCTCCGATTGGAAATTGCTGTGTGAACAGGACTTTAGTTTATTTTCATTTCGTTTCGTTGCTCGTCGATGGCTTGCATTTTGTTTTGACATTTCATTTATGTAAATATGAGCAGCAACAACAAACAGTGAGCAGCAGCGCACAGTCAAATTATCTTTAAATAATTTAGATTTGTACAAAAGCGCCCGCCTGGTCGTCGGTGGTTGAATCCGAGCCGGCTCTAACATGCGAGTACGCAGCAGTCTGTGAGATAGCTTGCCTGCTCTGATTCTGTTGTTGTTTTATGAAAGGACAACCGGCAATAATAAGCAGGCGGTCGAGCAGGCGACAACACACACCCGCACACCCCCACTCCCGCACTCCCGCGCCGCACACAGTCCTATAAGATACACACGCATCATCGCATGGCAGTGCCGGGGCAAACATAAGTTGCAAAATGAAATCCGAGTGGGTGGGCGTGTGTGTGTGTGTGTGTGTGTGTGTGCGGCCAACATAAAAGCGGAAACGGAAGTGCTTACCTTTTACACACATACGCGTATGTACAAAAACAACACACGCGCTCACATTATTATACGTGGTATGCAAAATTCCACCTGCGCCTTGAAGTGCTCCCATGGGTGGGAGCAGGTGAGAAGCCACCCCTGCGAATCTGAGAGAGTGCGGGAGTGAGCCTGCATTCAGGGAAGGTGCGAGGAAAAGGAGACGCAACTTTAAAATATGTCCACAGTTGCATACGACTGGCTGCCTGGGCTGGGCTGGGCTGGGCTGGAATTGACTTTCAGCTTCTGACTTCAATGTATGACCGAAATCGTGAAACAAGACTGCTGTGGGAAGTTTGAGAAGTTGTGGGAAGTTGCCACATAACTACAAGTAATCCAATTAGGCATGCAGTATTGAAAGATAATGTGCCAAGGATAATTCTATGGCACGACTCCTTTTCCTCACCCAATCAAATTTTATTTGTATGCCTATAAACTAAAGGTAGAACATTTTTTCAGAATTCGTTTGCATTTAATAATGATGATGTTGAGTGGTAAGCAAGCTATAGCTTGAACCGAAATGTATTTAGATATAGTATTAGAACGATTCAAATTCCTTTCCTAATAATTCTAGTTCATTTTCTTGAGAGCTCTCTAATTAGCAATTCGCAATTTGTTCGTCACAAATATATTTAAAGTAATTATTTAATACCACAACTACACGGTATCCAGTCGAATCTTCTCATACGGTATTCAATAGCATGTTGAATATTAGAAGAAGCGTTTTTTAAAACATGCAAAACACAAAGAGAATTATGAACTAAGTATTTTAGCAGCCTTGAGTGTAAGCATCGAATTGAAATTCGTTCGAATTGCTGTCTTCGTAAAGGACTATGTCAAGATAAAACACAATTCTAAGTGCAACTCAATTATAAAAGAGAAACAAAAGTTAATCCTAACATTATTTCAACACAATTCTTCTAATATACTTGTACTTGTATGAGATGAATAACTTTATATTCTTCAATAGAAGTACAAGTATATCTCTAATTCCTTCCGCATATACGAGTATCAACAATTTTAAAAAACTTAATCGAATAATAAAGTCTATTAAGCATATAAATATTTAACATATGATCAAATTTTCGCATTTTAAGAAATGTTTATTTCAACTTTATTCAAAAATATAAGTTCTTCTACTTTCACTTTTTATGCAATTATGATAAGTCGTCTCAATATCGAAGCAGCCCGTTGATGCTGATGAAGAAAGCAGTTACAATTTTGCATTCGCATATACTTGTATGTATCTTTGATTACTTAAATACAATGAACGCTGAAAACTGTTCTAATACCACCAACTCCAGTGTCTAGCTCTGTTACAAGTATAGATAAGTATTTTATATGCCGATTTATTTTCAATTAATTCATTGTCTTCGCACTTTATCATCATTTATTGAGAAGCTCTAGTGCTCTGTAGCGTCTAAATGCGAAGGCTCCGCAAACTTTTAGATTAGCCCTTTAACACCCTATGCAATAAGTATGCGTATTTATGTGGGTCTGCATGGCATCTACGAGTATGTGCGGCTATGGATGTGGATGTGGATGTGTGTGCTATTTTAAATATTTGAAATATTTGTAACATTTGCCGTTGCCACCAACCACTCAAGTAACCAAAAGTACACTACAAGGCAAACTCAACCACCCAACCAACCCACCACCCCACCACCCACTCATCCTCACACACACGGTGGCACCACCATTTACCGCACGCCAAAAACATCAGCCAACAGGACGACGGCTGTTTGTTGTTGGTTGCTGCTGCTCCTGTTTGTTGGCTGGCGGCGCGACTCTGCGCGGCGGCATGAAGGGGGCAGGAGGTGAATGTGAATGCTTATTTTCTGGTCCGTCAGCCGCCGGTGATGTCGACGTCAGCGTCACCGTCACCGTCACCACATGTAAAAATGTTACCGGTTAGCCGTCGCTCGACTGGGGCCAAAGGTCGGTAACGAATTTTGGAGTGTGTTTCTGTGTATGTGCGGGTGTGTGGGTGTGTGGGTGGGGGAAGCAGGGGCTGGGACATGGGCTGACTCCCTTTTCTGCCGCTCCAACCTGCGCGCTGTGCTGTGATTTCGCGAACTCGATGGATGTGGAACATTGGCCAGACCGGCCAGGAAAAAAAGCGAGTACAAAAACAAATCAAAAAAAAAAAAAAAAAAAAAAAAAAAAATCAGTGTAACTCACGTTAAAGATGAAATGTTTTAAAATATGTACAGCAGCTTGATGTGGTGTGAGTCTAACGTTGCTGTGGGTGTGGGAGTGGGTGGGCGTGTGCAGATTGAGTTGGTTGGGGCAGCCGGAAGAGCAGCCTATGCCGCCAAAAACTGGCAGGCAGGCAGGCAGGCAGGCAGGTATAAGACACAGTCGTTGACTGACAGCAGTTGCTCGTGTGTCGTGGGGTGTTGAGTGTATGTTGTATGTTGTGTGTAAGTAGAAGATTCGTCTGTGCTTGTGTGTGTGTTCAACAGGCGGAACGGGTCGTAGCCTGTGTGTGGGTACTCTGTATCGAAATGCCAGCACAATCTGTGCACCCTACAAGCGAACTTCTTACCAGATCCAAGTCCCTTCCTGCACACTCTCTCGCTCTCTCTCTCTCTCTGTCTGTCACGATTGAGCAAAACATTTCGCATTATTTGTTTTTAATAAGGCTTTAACATAAGCGAACCTATATTGAAAACCGATTCCTTCTTATTAAAACTCTTGCTTTAATTTTCCAATAAAGATAGGGTACAAATAGATATTGACTTTTCTGGAAACAAAAGGATGCTTCAGAGAAGAAAAAACTATAGTCTATAGATTGTTGTATTGGATCTCTTGAAAACAGGGAACAAAATACTAGCACGATTGATTGAAGCACAAACAAACTTCCTTCTAATTATATGATTCCTTCAACTATTTAATAACTAATTTCAAATTTAATCGTCTTTCGATTCTTCATATACGAGCGCTACTTTCTCAAACAGTCTAGAGTAGTAAGTAGAGCAAACAAAATTCTGCATTGCGACTTAACCAGAGAGCAAAAATTGAGCACCAAATTTTTTCCATGTTTTATTTT